GCCTCTGGCTGCATCCACGTTGCTTCAAGGGACTTCTTTTTTATGGCTGCATAGTATTCCACGGTGTATAGCAAATCACATTTTAAAAATCCAATCCACTGTTGATGGGCACCTAGGTTGATCTGTGTCTCTGCTATTGTGAATAGCGGTGCAATATGCATGCGAGTGCAGGTGGCTTTTCGGTAGGAAGATAATATTTTAATATCTTTACTAACTAACACATTGACCTGATTGGTTCCTCCTAACTTCACAGGTTAGGTTTAATTTCTAATTTAATAGAATAATACCCTGTGTGCACAAAATTCTTTGTTATTTCCTTATAGGTGAAAAAGCAGTTATAGAAAACTGTGTAGTGAGAAGTTCTGTCTTTGGGCCAGGTGAGGGCACTCCTGTCATCTCCCAAATACCTCTCAGGGTGACAAAAAGAAAAAAATCACTGCTTTTGTTTAAAGTAGTCAAGTTAGATGACAAGAGCTACTTTGCTTAGCTAATTTCTATTTCTGTATATCTATATAGAGATATGTTTATATATGTCTATATATCTATATCTATATATAAATATAGATATATATGTCTATAATCTTTATATCAATGTAGATATAGATATATAAACATCTATATAGATATGTATGTCTATATACATACATCAAGACATAGATATATAGACATATATATCTATATAGATATATTTATAGATATATTTCTGTCTATATGTGTATAAAATATCTATCTATATCTATATTTCACTTTAGATGATAATACCACATTCAATTACATCCACTGGTTTTCAACTCTGGCTGAACATGGGGATTGCCTGGAAGAGCTTTAGAAAACTTTGAACTCTCAGCTGGTACCCCCCAAAATTCTGATTTTATTGGGGTGGGGTGCAGCATGGGCATCGGTAATGATAAAAAGAACACCCCAAGTGCTTCTAACATGCAAGTGGGTGAGAACCACTGTGTTGGAGCGCTGGTTATTTAGAAATGGGCTTGTTAGGAGGGGAAGACGCTGGAAATTGCTTGTCTCATTCAAATCAGTGTATGATTCACCTGAGTGACAAACGTGGCGCTATAAATGTGTGCGTTTGTCCCCTGTGAAGAATGGCTGTGCCCCAGACTTCCAAAGCCGTCCAAACTGGGTTGTTTCGCTAACATTGATCCTAACTTTGCCTTTTGCACTGGGCAGTTCTTTCCTTCCGCCTTTCTCTGGCTACCAACTGAGGTTTTCAGGTGCCACCCATGCTCTTATCCCCTCCCGGGCACAGCCTATGGCATGAGTCCACTGGGCTGCCAAACTCTTCCTCGGTTGCTCTGTCAATTGCCAAGATTTCTGGGATGCTCTCCTGGGTTCTCTAAGCCCTTCACTCTCCCTGATCTCTGTGCTGATCTTCGCTGCATAGTGGTTCTGCTGTTTCTCCTCCTCCCTGACCCAGGCCAGGCTCTCCCTGAAGGGTCCTCAGGCTTCTGCCGGCCAGGGTCAACACATTCCGCATCTGGTCCCTATCCCCATGTGAACTCCATCAGTAACAGAAGCCCGTCCTCCCTCCCTCCCTCTATTAGTCCATTCTTACACTGCTATAAAGATACTCCCTGAGACTGGGTCATTGACAAAGGAAAGAGGTGTAATTGACTCACAGCTCTGCACTGCCTGGGAGGCCTCAGGAAACTTACAACCATGGTGGAAGGCAAAGGGGAAGCAGGACATCTTACAGGGTCACAGGAGGGCGAGAGAGAGAGAGGAGAGAGGGCGGGGGAGAGAGAGAGAGAGAGAGAGAGAGAGAGAGAGAGAGAGAGAGAGAGAAACTGGAAAGTGCCAGACATTCTCAAACAAGACCACTTGGAAACTCACTATCAGAACATCAAGAGGGAAATCTGTCCCCATGATCCAGTCACCTCCTGCTGTGTCCCTCCCTTGACATGGGATTACGATTCAAAACCAGATTAGGGTGGGACACAGAACCCAGTCACCGTGCTTCCTCACTAAGCCAGAACGCAGGCTCTTTCTTTCTTTCTTTCTTTCTTTTTTTTTTTTTTTTGAGACAGAGTCTTGCTCTGTTGCCAGGCTCCAGGCTGGAGTGCAGTGGCACGATCTTGGCTCACTGCAACCTCTGCCTCCCAGGTTCAAGCAATTCTCCTGCTTCAGCCTCCTGAGTAGCTGGGACTACAGGCGTGTGCCACCACGCCCAGCTGATTTTTATATTTTTAGTAGAGATGGGGTTTCATTATGTTGGCCAGGATGGTCTTGATCCCTTGACCTCATGATCGGCCCACCTTGGCCTCCCAAAGTGCTGGGATTACAGGCATGAGCCACCACGCTCGGCCCCAGAACGCAGACTCTTAAATACAGAATCTATTGGAGTACTGTGGCTGTAGACACCAAAACGCAGGTGAGCTGGCCTAAGTTGGCCCAGGGGCCCAAGAGGCAAGCCTTTTCACAGTGCTCCTCTCGCCTCTGAGGCTGGGCGTTCACATGACCTGTGTCGTGACCACCAAACGTGGAGAAACTCCGTCATGATTCTGTAACCAGGTAAACACAGCCCTGGTAACTTGCTGTACCAGCTATGAATACATTTTGAGATACGCTCCTCCTCTATTGCTTATGCTGGAGTACAGTAGCACACTCATGGCTTACTGCGGCCTTGAACTCTTGGGCTCAAGTGATCCTCCTGCTTTAGCCTCCCAAGGGACTACAGGCATGCAGCACCACACCTGGCTTTTCAGTTTTTATAGGGATGGAGTCTCATTATATTTCCCAAGCGTGTCTTCAACTCCTGGCCTCTAGTGATCCTCCCATCTCGGCCTCCCAAAGTGCTGGGATTACAGGTGTGAGCCACCACACCCAGCCTGAATGTACCTTTTGGTGGCCTCAGAGGTTTACACAAAAGAGCGGGACAGCTGGGAAAGACCTACAGAGACAGGAGTGACAAGCAGGCTTGGTGGCTTCTAGGCCCAGCTGTGCTCCTGACTGTGTGATGTTCAGTAAGCACAGTTGTTAAGAGCTTGTTTTCTAACCAGTGAAATGAGGGACCGTGTGCTAGCCCTTCCTACCCTTCAGTACACATGCGAAGCTTGGGGGTCTTGTTAAAATGCAGCTTCTGATTCAGTAAGAGAGACCTGAGATTCCACATTTCCATAACGCCTCTGCTCCCTGTCCGTGGGCAGCAAGATTCTTGCCCCTGGGATCTCTCAACTCTGGAAGTCCTCCAAGATCTTATGTGGTTCTTGCCCACTGGTCCCCTCCCTCCCTCCCACCCCCATTAGACATTCTGGTCCTCAGAAACCTTGTTTCTCTCCTCATCCTTTTTTTTTTTTTTTTTTTTTTTTGGGGGAGAGTTTTTCTTCTGTAACCCAGGCTAGAGGGCAGTGGTGTGATCTTGGCTCAGTGCAGCTTCTGCCTCCTGGTTCCAGCAATTCCTGCCTCAGCTTCTCAAGTAGCTTGGATTACAGGTGCCTGGCATCACGCACGGCTAATTTTTGTATTTTTAGTAGAGACAGGGTTTCACCATGTTGGCCAGGCTGATCTCAAACTCCTGACCCCAGGTGATCTGCCTGCTTCGACCTCCCAAAGTGCTGGGATTACAGGTGTGAGCCACCACGCCCGGTCCCGCTCATCCTTGAGCCTGCTCTTTCCGCGCCTCAGTGCTGTGTCATTTTTCTCCCCGAGGGCTCCAGTGTTCCAACGCAGAGGCTCCCCTTTCCTCCCTCTGGCCGACCTTGTTTTCCAGTGAAGTTTTTTCTTCTTGGTGTGTTTCCATGAACACCTGGCTAGGTAAAATGAGGGACAGCCTGGTCTTGCTCACCCTACAGCACTCACGAGAATCCCCTGGACTCAGAGGTTGACCTCTACGTGAGAAATTGTAAAGTAACATTTAATTAAGCAAGCCAACCACATTCCACCTCAAAATACTCTTTATTATACATTATTTCTTCCATGAAAGTTATATGGACGACTTAATGCAATTGAAGTTAATAAAAGTAATCTTACTGCCTGGCGGGATGTCTTGTGGGGTCTTAAACTTCAGTGCACACTGATGCAATTTTGCAGCGCTTCAGAGAAAAGATTCAAACTTACGAGCACAAAATGTTTGCAGGTCCTCTGGGCGGAGGCTGTGCACGTGCCCGGGCTAGCACACTGTGTGCTATTTTTGAATGAATGAATTGAATGAAGGAACCGCCTTAGCTTCCCGGTTCTGGGACCCTGTGTTACCACGAGATGGCAGTATAGTATCAAACACGGAAAGCGACTGACGCCCTGATTTGCATTTTGCCCAACTCAACAGAACGCTTGCACCTACGCTTTAAATTGCATCGTGTGCTCTGCAAACTCCTAGTTTTCTTTTGGCAAGACAATCTCACTGTCTTTGCCCAGACTCTGAAGAAACACAGACACTTGCCATGAGGTCAGTGCAGGTGAAGAGCTGTCATGCGGCATCGTTCACTCCTCACCCTTTTCTTATAAACATTTTCCCCTTCTGTTTCATGGAGCTTTCAAATTGCGTTTATTATAAAGCAGAAAGAAAGCGTTTCGCATAACTTCTCCCACATGCAATTTTAACAAGCGTTGCTTTACCAACGGTTTTAATCATGTTAGATTTGACCTTGACCTTTTAGCCACCCTGCAACCACATCAACCCCACTCCCAATAATTTGACAAGATTTTCAAAAATGAACGCTTGCTTTTTGTAGTTATTAAAGACACACCTGTGTAGCACACACGGGTATTCATTGGTCTAACGCAATTTGCCATATCCTCTTCTTTCCTCCGTCTTAAAATCAATTTTGGGGTTTTCCTCCCTTAGTAGACACCATCTGAGTATTGGCAAATATGCAACTCAAGTTATCGCTTCAAAGGCAAAGAACCAGCACTTAGGTCTTAACACCATTCTCTAAAATCAGTGTCTAGTGAGTATAGATGCAGGTCTTTTCATTGAAAACTGTCCTCAGAATTTAAATTGGGTTCGTCAAATAAGCTCGCTTAGATTGAACACACTGAGAGACATCTTGAGTTATCAAATATAGCATTTTATAATGATATAGTAAAGAATAAGGTAAAAAGCTTCAAAGTTGGACATTTTCCCACTGTGTCATACAGTTGAAAATGTGTCAGTCATGAGAATACTGCTACCTGAGAAAGCCGACATGCTAACTGGTGACTTGTGGCTTTCTCCCCATCCTACATATGTGGTAATGGCTTTGGGACCTGCCCTCAAAATTCTACCTTATAACTGAATATATAAAGTTTATAGTTGGCATATGTACACTGCAGTACATGAGTTACCAAGTAGGTTAGATGTAGGCCACTGTTAGGTACCTAAGTTACAAACAGTAATTCTTTAATAAGCCAAACTATTGGAGAGATGAACATTTTTACAATGGATCTGGCTTTAAAACATAAGATGGGCACCGCAGCTAAAGCAGGGTTCTAATTGCATGTCTAATCTAACAGCAAGACTGACTCTGAAAAGTATCTGCACAGTTACCCCCATGGAACTCTTCCGCAAAGCCTCTTACATGACTAAGATGGGTCAAGGAAGTAGTGTCTAGCCTATCAAAAATGTTTTTAACCACTAGAGATTCCTCCGAGGTAAAGTAAGGAGAATAAACATTTTAGCAGGATGGGCAGAACAAAACCCCTCCCATCCCATAATGATTGATGCCCCATCATTAGCAGGGTAGCTGCCCATTTCTTATCTTGATTGACAGCTTAATAAGGGACCTGGGGCTATCTTTTCAGTACTAACACACAACCTTACCAATTACTTTTAAATTATTGCTAATCTGTCAGAAAATAACAAGCATAAGGAATAAAAATATCCGCAAAACAGAAACGTCTGGTGAAGCAGCTTTTACTTCCGGTGCCTTAAAAGGTTCAGTTTGGAAAACTTGCTAGAATTTAGTCAATAGAATTTAGGCACTGACGATTTTTTTTTTTTAAAGAAAAACTTGTAGTTTATAATAGTTCATTGGTTCAATTAGGAGCGAAAAAGAAGGGAGTTTTGTAATGCAATTGTCCAGCAAAGGAAAACGCTTTAAATTGGGGGATTATGTGCACAGACCACCTGTGGGGCATTCAGAGCCCTTTTCTATAAAGCTTCAACCCATGCCTAGCTGCCTGCAGGCTGGCTAACAATGCCGGGAAAAGCTGTTTAAAAGGCTGAGCACTTGTGCCTCCGGTCTTCACTAACTGTTACAAGTCTTCCTCTCCCGCGCTCTCTCTCCTTTTTAAAGTAAAAGTCCCACATCCCTTTAATGGAAGAACTTTAAGGCTCCGCGGTGGCCAATTGGTCTGCACTAAGAGGAGATGGGCAGCAGGGAAAGAAACTTCAGACTATACAGCACATTTGCAGAGGAGAAAAGATCAAAGTTTTTCAAACTCAAAAGACCAAGTTCCCTACAGATTAACCCTATTCATTTAGCTCCTCTTAAAGGAATGATGTGCTGAGCCACTGGGCAGACAGGTAAAAAGTTCAACAATTGCTGGAGCATTCTTCTGTTAATTCAACAGCCTTCTGCTCAAATAAATTAGCTTAGTCTTGACAGAGGAACAATAGCTTTTTTCTCTAGGAAAAGCAGCACATTTGGTATACACAAGCATTGAAGGTTATTAAGATGTTAACCCGTTAGTTTAATCCATTAAAGAGCGCCTGCTCCCCTACCAGATTGTCAAGTGACTTCTACTGTAAAGGGTGAGCTATGGTTTAAAACATTAACCTCTACACCTCAGCCATGCGTTCCGATCCTGGAACACCAGGTGCCTTCAAAATCACGGACTCCAGAAATGAATGCAGGGTTTTGAAACCTTTAGTGATACCATACAGGATAAATAACAAGGCCTAAGGGGAGGGACTGCCTTGGAGAAGTTCCATTTACATCCACTAAGGTGAGAGTTGTTATCCACGGATCAGAACAGCGCTCCCATGAAAAACACCGTCTTTGGGGAAGGTGCAAAAACTCGATTTTGATTTCAGTTCAACAATGATATTTACTTGGCTAACAACTTAAGAACTAGAGTTTAACAAGTAATTTTCTCCATGCCTGAGGTCATGTACAGAATGACGAGCCAAAAAATGTCCATTTTCCCCATGCGTCCTTAGCAAGCACTTTAAAGGTGACAGCTCAGAAGAGGCGGGGGAGAGGGCAGTGGTTAAATCATTTATCAAAAGTCATTTTATTGACAAAATAGAATACTTATATCTGTTCTTACAGGGGTAAGCCTCTAAACTTTTTACAAAAAAATGTACACACTGTATATCTTTGGATATATACATATTTTACACATTTTGTACAATTTAACAAATAATTATATAAATACATCGTCTAATGTAAGAAACCCGTATTTACTTGGGGCGTATAATTAAGACATTTCTTGTTTGTTTACTTAAGGCATCTGCCTGGTCATTAAGAATACCCAAACCGTGCAATCCCGTCAGGTCGCGGTCACCCCTCCTCCAGGGTAAGTTAGGAGTTTACGTAGGAGAGTCGAGGGAGAAAAAGAGGCTCTCCCAGGTGAAATCTGTATATCTGACTGCAAACCCAGCCAAGTGCAGCCAGGGAGGGCTCCAAGCCTCGGGTTCTGGAAATGCTGCAGAGTCCACGCTCCTCAGCCAACAGAAATTAACGCGTGGCGGGAGGAGCTCCCCGCACATCAATGGAGGAAAAGGGGCTGGGTCTGGGAGGCTTCAATGCCAGGTACTTTGTTCTAAGTGAGTCTTTTAAGTCCCAGCTAATGGATACCATTAAGAGTTCATTATCATGCTAATAGCAATCAACACTGTGAAGGGGTGGGAACCTCAGCCCGTCAAGTGTCCCTTAGCTGCACTGGTCTCCTCGCCCCCCTCCCCAACCCTCCTGGGCGCCCCCTCCCCTCCGCTCAGACCTGGGACAATGGCATCTGCTTTGGATAAGACACGGAGCTGGCCGTGCCAGACCGCCACGTCAGGCCGGTGCTGACGTCGCTGTAGAGGGAGCCCCCGCCGCCGCCGGGACCCCCGCCGCTGCCGCCCCCCGGCCCGCCCCCGCCCCCCGCGGCCGTGGCGCCCGCGCCCCCGCCCCCCGCGGCACCCTTGCTGGCCCAGCAGCAGCGGGTGCACAGCGAGCGCCAGGACTCCAGCGTCTTGCCGGACCAGACCCACACGCCCGAGGTGATGCCCACCACCAGGCACATGAAGTACTTGAGCATGAAGACGGCGTAGTCGGGCCTGCGCGCCTGGTCGGGCTGCAGGTCCCGCAGGCATGGGCAGTTGTGCGTCGCCTCCCAGCGTGGGCGGTTGTGCTGCTCGTAGAAGAGGCAGGCGACCACCACCGCGGCGGGCACGGTGTAGAGCACGGTGAACAGGCCCAGGCGGATCATCAGCTTCTCCAGCTTGTGCGTCTTGGTGGGGCCGTCCTGCTGCTTGATGACAGAGCGGATGCGGAAGAGCGACACGAAGCCGGCCAGCAGGAACATGGTGCCGATGAAGAGGTAGATGACCAGCGGCGCCAGCACGAAGCCGCGCAGGTTGTCCAGGCTCTGGTTGCCCACGTAGCAGATGCCCGCCACCGGGTCGCCGTCCACCGAGCTGAGCGCCAGCACCGCGATGGACTTGACGCTGGGCACGAGCCACGCGGCCAGGTGGAAGTACTGCGAGTAGCCGGCGATGGCTTCGTTGCCCCACTTCATGCCGGCCGCCAGGAACCACGTGAGCGACAGGATCACCCACCAGATGGAGCTGGCCATGCCGAAGAAGTAAACCAACAGGAAGACCACGGTGCACAGCGCGGGGCCCGTGGTCTCGTAGCGCACGTGCTGCTCCACGGCGCCCAGCTCCTCGT